ACCATCTGTGGAAAAAGGAGTCGCTAGGTGATGAAATTCTATTCAAATTACCTAAATAACTTGTATGAGATACTAGAGATCAAATTCTTCACTTGGAAAAACAAATGAGTATTAGTCCAAATATATCTGAAATATTAGCCAGAGATGAGGACTGAAAGGGGCCTTAACATTTGGCAAAATAGAAAAAAGGACAGGAAAGGCTTAAATCAGCATCAGATATAAATCCACTCTTAAGACACCAACCTTTTCCAGAGGATTAGCCTCTATTTCCAAGGTTTCTGGCCTACTCCAGAAAGTACATAAATTTCTAGTGAACAGTCCAACACTCGGGACAAAGGTTAATTAGATTACGTTCAGGTATGGCTTTGGTTGGTGTAAGCTTTGAGAATGCATAATGTTCTTGGAGACAATAGATCAGATATCATAAGCCAATCCCACCTGGATGTTGGGGGCCAATAAGCTTGGCTGATCAGTGAAAAACATAACCATTCTTCCAATTTCCTGCTTTAGCAAAATTCTCCTTTCGCGATGGATGACATCACATGATACCAGTGCCTGATCATGGACTTCACTGCATTTATTTAATCATCAAATGTCATTTTCTGCTTTATTAATAAAATATAGAATTGTAAGAAAAGGAAAGGGGTGAATCACTTTAGGAAACTGTTCTCCTGTTGGCAGTTGCGTCCAATTATCTATATACCTTATCATCTTCTCAACCTGTTTAGCCACACTGTACTCTAAATCTGCTTCCTTTTGTTTGGCCCGTCCAGATTTTGCCATCTTCTTGGATTCTAATACTCGTGGCAGAACATATAATTGATAATCTTCATGCAGTAACACATACTGCATATTTGAAATTCAATAACAAATATGCTTCAGCTACTGGAGGAGAAGCATAACTCATTAATCACAAGACTGAGCATCACCTCATCTCGGAATACTGTAAAAATCAAATTTTCCTTCAGAACAACCTGGAGATCATTTTTGAAAAATCAAAATGAGAAACAGTAAAGCAAAATTTTATCAACTAACGTCTAAGCGCTAGCTTTTTAACTGAATCAATCTCCCTTTGGTGTGCCCATCAAATGAGAATCAGGGGCCATCTATCAATTAGTTCATTATCACCTGTGCTATGTCAATGCTTGTCACACGAAGAAGCTCATCAGGACAGACAAGGTAACCAAGAAGCACCCACTCCCTGTAAGAAGTAACATTTGCTAAATCTTGGGCTCTCTGAAATATGGAAAAAGTCTCGAGATTAATGTCCAGTAAGCAAAAACACGACCAAAATCATTGATTGTTCTAAAAATAGTCCTTACCATAGGATGGGCAGAATTCGTTAGGATATCAGGATACCGAGGATGATATGGACTTAGAAACCCCTCGTTTCTGAGCTTTTTTGTGTCGGTAGATAGAAAAATTATAGGACCAACAGCCTCTAAAACCTGGAAATAGAAATTGAAGCTTTAAAAAAGGCTATGGTCTGTTTGTAGAACTTGACAGCCAAGAAAACAACACTATACCAATCACAGTTATCATTTTGAAGAGAAGCTTTTCTAACTGTTTAACAATTATAAGAATTATGATAATGCACTGAGGAGGATAACAAGGGAGCCAACTGACCTCTCCGATGCGTGGGCTTACGAAATTTAGATCTTCTTGCAGTCCTTTCAATGGTGGATCATACGAGTCAATGAATTGGACCAACCTGAGAGAGAGAGAGAGAGAGAGAGAACAGACCAATTGAAACATAAAGTGAGAGGATGTATCAACAGAATGCTCCTTGAAAAAATATTAAGCCATGGAAAGCATTATTGGCATTCAACCATCAATAATTAACTGTTTTAGGCCTGGAATTTCTGTTCAAACAGGACAGCACCTGTTTTTTATTCTAATTTCCACGAGAGAAACAGGGTGATCATGGATGGAATCAGCATTTTAAGAAAAACTAATACGACAGTCTCATTGGCTTTTCATCAGAGCCTTCACCAAGACACTGGTCAACAAGATCTGCTTGTGGTAAAGTAAGTTTTGTCTAGTTGTAGTGCAAATGCAGAGATCACAGGAAAGGGCAGTAAAGTACAAGGTTTCTGACAGCAATGACAACCCACATTCAACATACTGCAGTGATTTGTAAAGTTTGGCCTTCTTTTACATAATGATCTTGTAAAGTTCAGTTTCCACCCGAAAAGTAAAGATCAAAAGAGCAATCACGTACCGATGATAAAAATCACAGTCTCTGTCATTTCTTGAAATAGCATGGAGAAGGTTATACACTTGCAACATCATTTTCCTTGGAATCTGTACGAAGTTCTTGATATATTAAGATCAAACACTCAAATAGGGATGCAAGAATAATCATTACAAGGACATGAGTATGAGTAACAGATACATCGAAAATAGTATACATAAGAAAGAAATGCAAACCAAACTTGCCTTCTCAGAGAAAAGATTAACGCGGACAAAGGAGCAGAAGAGATCCATGAACGCATGCAGTATAAGTGAATTCTGATGGGGCTGCAAAATACTGTGTCATGTTATCAGATATAACATAGACAAATGTTGTATCTTCTTTTTCCCTTCTTTTCCATTATAGAAGGCATCAAGGCAACAAAACCACATTGAACGGAAAATGTGAAAGGATGAATAGAGGTTTTTCCTATAATCCGAATTGCGTTCAGCTGCATCTACTTCTCGACATTTATGATTGTTAGGTTAAACACTCTGATAGTTTTGGGAAACTGGTGGAATATATTTGGATCATGTGGAGAAGAACAAACTCACCAACAAGGTGATAACTGTACTACTCAAATCCAAAATGAGTCGGAGTGCTTGTTCCCGAAATGCCATCAGGTCAAGAAGCATCTTCATACAAATAAAAAGGAAGCCCGGTCACATGAGTTAGTAACTTCCAATTTATACAGATGATACCAAGCAGTCTTAAAATCGGGCCAGGAAACAGTTCTTGCATGGAAGTAATGGCAATACGAAGTAATATTCTCCTGCTGTATGATGTATGGGGCCTCAATACAAATATACATCATAAATGGCATGTCAGAACCAAAAAAAACTATAAAGTGATAAAGACAACAAACAAACAAAACTGACTGAATACTGATTTAAATTAGCAGACATCATAAACCAGCTTCAGTCGTTTCCTAACTGGCAGTAAACAGCTCTATCAACGACCGTGCCGGATTGAACTGAAAGGAAAGCTCTAACTTGAACAAATATTTTCATTTTCCAATTCAATACGACCCGTTCGTTCAGAGAGCTATTTATCCAACGCAAACACTTCTGGAACACCTCTAATAGAGGGGACAATAGCAGTTCTGAATGAAGTATGCCAAAAAAAATTACACTGTAGTTCATTAAGATGACAGCAAGATGACTCCCGTGCTCATAAAGACTGAAATTTGTGCCTAGCCAACAATAACCAGCTAAAAGCCCACGCACTCAGTTTTTTACTTTTGAAGTTTACCATAACATATCTGTTCTATGTCCTAAAGAGCTCCCAGACAAATTCACTTAAGCAAGTTCCAGCAACAGTAACGGCATGTTGAGTGCTGAAATATGAAGCAAATACAGAGCTATAATTTGTATACTATCACCATTTTTCATGTTGAAGGTTACCATGGCTACAAGCCCAGAATAAAACGTAGTCAAATTTTGCTCCAACATTAATCAGCATGCAAATCTAACTTGCAGACCGCAGATGTTAGGTCAAAGCATATAAACCAACACTGGAGTGCCCCTAACACCTTATCTCATAAACTAAACAAGATAGAAGCTGTACCTGAATCCATGGGTCCAAGCTCTGTAAATGAACTTCTGCACTATCATTTAAAGAATCCAGTGCAGTCTTGTCAACCTGTATCACTCAGATAACTTAGATTCCCGGGTCCCTCTTGAAGGACGATTAAAATGCCGAAAAAATTAAAGTGGGGAAAATCCACTTCATATTGTACGCAGTGCCATTATACTTACCCTTTCAAGTTGCAGTTTGGTAAAATGATCGGGGAACTTTTTCGATAGCAATGTGCAAATCCTGGGGTGGTTTGGGAAAATGCCTGCCTTCCAGAAACCTTCTGAAAACAAATGATTTATCGGATCTGGATAGTCCAATATTTGATTTAGCCTATACATTTTGGACATCAGGCCTTCAGCAACTTCAGTCAGTTGGACAACCCACTGCAAGTTCACACCCTTTTGTGAAGCCCCCGAACCCTGAAGGTGTCCATCAGAACCCTTAAACCTAGAGGACCTGGAGGCCATTTGAGATGTCATATCAGGACCCAAGTACTCTGTCCATCTTGCTGGACCTTCCCATTCCTTGGATCTATCAGCAGTGGGTGACAGCGATGAATCACGGGAAGAGAGATGCTGGTGTGACTTCGCCATTTGCCCAGCTGCAAACAACTCAGAAAACGAGATTGAGTCTCTTAGCTACCAAGTTTCCATAAAGTAAACTCCATGGAATTGAGCAATGCAGTCATTCACCCAAAGCCAACTGTAGCATACTACAATGGTGAAGATTGTGCACTCAACCAATTCTGTCTCTACTTGACTGGAACTAAGACAGAAAACCCCACAATTCCCCACTGAAGAAAGGGAATTCGGAAAGTCAAGAAACAACTAAGGTAAGAACAAGGGAGAAAAGAGAATGAACTGCCATACAATCACAAGTCGGGTTCGCCATCAACAATGTAGCTAGCAGCCTAGCATAACCAATTCAAAATTCAAGGATAAACCACGCTTCGCCTTCCCCCAGGGTTTCTCAGAAAACAGAAGAACAAAGGGGAAACAAATTCAAGGACACTGCATTAATAAATAAAAAATGGGAACCAAAAAGAATTGGAGATAAACGAGCAATGGAGAGCTCTCCGGAAACTAGAGGATTCCAGACATAAAAAGAAACTAATCACGCCACAACGAAATCTAGCAGAGAAAATGAAGAGAAGAGAGAGGGAAGTACGAGACAGCAAGTGAAAGACTTCAACTCTTCGACGCAGCAACAACAGCAGCTCTGCTTGGCGGCTTTGAGAAGCTTAGATCTGCGCCATTTGCCGTCGTCGTCGATCGTGGCAGAACGTTTATGGGACGGAAGGAAGGAGATGGAGATGGGGGTAGTTGGTAATTAAAAGCAGCGGTGAAGTTCAACCAAAGAAGAAAGTAGCAAGTCAGCTCCACTTCCCTGTTCGAGAAGCGGACGGGCGTGCCATTCATTTCCGGAAATTTTTTAGCTCCAACCTTTTTTTTTTTCTTTTTTCCTCTATAGCAGGAGGATTATTGGCCTGTTTGTTTCAATTTTTTCTCAAAATTTCCTAACAAAAATTTTGATAACTTTTGAGCTTTGACAATAGAGTCGATGAAATGCATGAATTTTTCACGATGGAAAAGTAAATAAATGGTAGACATTGTGTGTGGATAAAAAAATTTGATAATTGATGGAAAAATAACTTCATATTATATTTTTTTTCTTTACGAAGAGTTGATGATGCGTCATTTAGTCTCAAACTCATAATTATGTTCTGTTAAACTTGAGATGGAATTGAAGATCAAGAAACGTTGAGGTACATTATCTAAGAGGTGTTTTTAGTGATTTTTGAACTCATAATGAAATTCGGTGAATTGTGGTGGTTGCTATATTTTCAGAATCTTCAGGGTGTTGAGCGACAATGAAAGCAAGTAACGCCGCACGTTGAGTGCAATTGAAAGCACACGATGTTGGGCTTCATACTCTCATCGAGTATTTCATAAGTGCATTAATGAGACTCGTAGAAAAAAAATTCAAAGATAAAAGGAGTCATGAGCTTACGAGAAATAAATAAATAAATAGTTTATGGAAAATATATTGTAAAAACTCTTATTCTCTTCTACTATCTTATTTTTAATCCTTTCGACTTAAGCATCGGGTTGCCTTCAAGGGTCAATATCCTTCGACTAAGCTTCTTGCATGAGTCGCGAGCACTAAGTTGTCGACTTTAGTTTGTGAGACAACCTAGTAAGAGGTCATAGCATACCTACGTTAAGTTCTTTTGTCCAAAAACCAGGCTTCAATTCCTTGTGACCAGTAGTCAGAGTTTTGTCTAATTTTCTCTATTTCAAATTTCGTGCAACAAGACTTGAAAGTAGAAATGACATTTTTGTCTTTACAATTTATTTATTCCATGTAAAAAATGACAATATAAGGATTTGAACACTGTTCTCTTTAAACAAAGTCAACAATCACAATAAATTACACGAAACAAATTTGTTTTATCTTTTTTAATACAAAACATACACGAAGTGACACTCTGAAAATATCAGAGGACTTTTCCATCATTATTAGCAAGTCCACTAAGTCTACTGAATGTATTTTATGGTGTTTGATACTGCAATTTTCATAGCAGAGTTTCATTTAGTTTCTCAATTCTAAAATCACTACTCTCTCCATAATTTTCGCTAAAGGTAAATTGGTAATTGGCTAATATGGAAGAAACTAATTCTATCACTGCGCTCTCCTTCATTTTCGCTAAAGGTAAATTGGTAATTGGCTAACATCGAAGAAACTAATTCTATTAATACGTGTTGTATCGTTGCATTTTTCAATTTATATTTAAATTTAGCACTTTTGTATCTTTGTTCTTATCTCTTTCTAACCTCTGAAATTCCTTACATCGTGCAATAGTTCGCATCCCTTTCACTTTACAGTACAAGGATGTGATGACTCGATATTACACATGTTTTTGTCCAGCATTCTTATATCGTTTGAGGCTCGGATCTCGGGTTTTAAGCCGATTTTACACTATGTTGTTCTTGTTTATGACATTTCAGGTCCTAATGCGTGAATGCAGGTTTGAGCACGAGTTCGGGGTCGATTGGGCGAAGACGGGACGAGCGAAAAAGAGCAGATGAGTTGCACGGCCAGCTCGAGAAGACGCACGACTATGCATGGTGGCCGTGCAAGCAAAGATGCGCGGCCAGGTTTCGCACAGCCGTGCATGACTGATTTTCTGGCCGTGATGAACTCTGTGAGAAGTTGCACGACCAGGCTCTTGGATTGCATAGGTCGTGCGATGGTCGTGCACTCCCCTAGCGGAACTAATCCAAATGTTGCGTTTTGGGTTGCACAGGCATACAAGGAAATTGCACGGCCGTGCGACCTGACCGTGCAATCACGACAGCTGCATCTTAACCCAATTTCGGGTTTTGGAAAAGGGGATTGAGCTTTGGAGAAAGAAATATAGTTTTAGAGAGAGAAAGTGACGAACCCAACCTCCAAGGTGCCCTAGATCGAGCTTTGACGCCATTGGAGCTCGATTGAAATCTAGAGAAGTGTCGATTGACAACCAGATGCTGATCTTCATCCTTCACACAATGATTTCTGCATCTGAAACTGATTTCTCTTCTCTCTCAATGTTGTAACCCTCTCTCTCACCTAGGTATGAAGAACCCTAGAGTTGTTCGTTAGGATTGATTGTATGAACCCAAGCACATGACGTTTTGAAATTGATTATTTTCAATTGAGGCATGATTTCTGAATTGCTTGAATCTTGATCAAATTCCTGTGATTTCTGCTTTAACCTAGAAAGAGAACATATGCACAAGTTGATAGAGCACCCTTGATTGAAGGTAGTGAATTGATTGCTTTAGTCGAGAAGTCAATTCACTGCTATGTACTAGATTTGTTCTAGTAGAGGAGGTTTTGTGCGTTAGGGCCTCAGTGTGTTTACTCCGGTGGAGGTTAGTCGCCCGCCGGGTATCCGGATTGGGAGGGTTTGAAGACCTTTAGTCGAGACTTCAGACTGACTAAGAACATTCCGCAACATAACTATCATTACACTTGGACTTGGTGGATTATAATTGAACTTCACTACGCTCTAGGGGGAACCATATCTGGGTGACCTTCCTCTGAACTTGAATCACAACTTTCACTGCTTTGTGTCTGCTTAGACTAGTCCAAACTGCACAACATTCATACTGCTGATAACAAAGAATTTCACGGAGTAGTCATCGCATCTAGGACCCGGCTTGATAGGTAAAGCTAAACCCTTTATACTACTCATTAGACGGTGGTTACACTTGGCCATTTTCTAGTGTGGCAGTTTTAGCGTGTCAGACCACCTTTGAAAATCAATCTTCTGGTATCTCTTAGCACTATGATTTTATTCTTCGGGATTTAAACTGGGTGCAGAAGAAGGATTAGAATGGAGTTCAATAAATGGAGGTGCAGAAGAAGGATTAGAAATTGAATTTTTGGTTCAAACATACGCCTCTTGAGATTGAAGATAGAGTGCACCAAAATTTTATTATACAACGAAGAGTGGTGGCTATTGGATCTTTAGGTTTATGGTTTTTGTAGCTATTGCAACCTAATTCTTGTCAAGAACCCGTTGATCCCAATAACTTGATTTTTTGGGAAAGGTTCAATCGTAGATCGAATACCGTTTACTAACACGCCTGCTCAAACGAAAGCCACCATATGTGGGTTTGAAGTTTGCATAGGTCCGGACACCATGTGTGTTGAACAGAAACAAATGGGGGTCATCGAGATTCGAACAGAAGACCTCTCAGTCACAGAAGGCTTTGATACCATGTCAAGAACCCGTTGATCCCAATAACTCGAGTTTTTGGGAAAGGTTCAATCGTAGATCAAATACCGTTTACTAACAATTCTATCATAAAACGTGGAATCATCGATTGATTTACTGAAGTAGGTTGGTCGATTCTTTATTCAACCTACTAGAACTGATAGAGAAGGAGTGTTTAATTTTGTTCCTTATTACTTTGATCGAGTCTATTAGTATATTAGAGGTAACCCTAATTTTGGCATTTGCTATCAAGTTTTGATGGTCCCTCTAAGTTGAGTTGTTAGTATAAAGTTGACTTGAATCAACAACTCTCCATTTCTTTTTGATTAGTGGCATATTGTTCCTAACAGAAGAGCATTGAAACCTTTATGTAGGATTGCGAGGTTTAAGATTTAGTTTCAAACTATCTATGGTTCGTTAAGCAATTTCAGCGAGCTTTTATACTTTATCTTTCTTGACAATCAACAAACTAATAGCATTTTACCGTGGACTTATTTATCATTATGAAAATGGGATCAATGATACATTTTTATATTTTATATTCTTAAATGATGATGATATTTCTACTAACTACATATTGAACCTTTGTATCCAAAAACTCTTTACTACTTTGTGTTCTCTGCTTAACAACATATCACAAATCTCGTCAATTTTATTGATGATGTCGCTATTCATTCTATTAATTATTAAGAGATAGTGGTGATTTGCACTTGTTGGGGGATTAAGAAGATAGGCCCAAGGACATGCCCAAGGCGGCCCAATGAGGAAGAAGATGATGCTTCGTGGGCTCAATCTGCGGGTTGGTTCGCGGGGCCAGACCCAGGGGTAAATATGGGAAACTAGGAGACAAGGTTCGGAAGGGTACAAGAGAGTACGGTCTGTGCGCCTTGTACCTGTTAGAGACCTGACAGGTTGGTCGGGGCGCCCAGCCTGACAGAGGTACGGAGTATTAAATGCGATGCTGACATGGAACTGGGTTGATGAAGCCTGATTCAGGGTTGGGTGAGTATAAATAGTGTCGGTAGGTGATATTTACACCAGGTTGGATTCTCTCACTTAACACTTGAGCTTGCCACTTCTCTCTCTAAAACCCAAACTGACTTTATCGTCGGAGGACTAACGGGCCCAGACACCCTCCTCCGTGTGCGTGTGTGCAAGTCAAGTGCCTTGGACACGTAGAGCGGGGATAAAGCTGGTGAGGAGTTGGGCTCTAAAGTAACCGGACACAAACAACACCCATTCATAAAAATAAAATAAAAAATCAAATCAAGACTTCCGGTCCACGATCTTCTACAAACTCAAACATTTCTGATACGGAGTTAGCCAGGTAGATGAGGACTCGTGGTCGTGCAACCACGATTCTTCCCTGTAATGCCGGCTAAATTTGACTCGCCGACCACCGGCTGAGAAGAATTGATTTGATTGCTGCGGTCTCCGATTTCTTATTGACTGTACTAGTTCCGGTACAAAATGTAACCACTTTAGCGAATGAATTAGGAGTAAAGTTAAAGTTTAAATTTATAATAATGAAGTTGCAGTAATTGAATTAAGAAAATAATTAACCGGAAAACCACATAAAAAAGTGTCTCAAATGGTATGGAATTGGTGTAATGCGCAACCAATGATCCCCTGAAAATGGAAGCGACAAAACAGAAAGGAGAATAACAACCTCCAGCTTTAACAAAGTAAGAAATCCCAACGTTGCTGGGCGTATAATGGAAGGATTGTGGGCTGCTGTTAATGAATTGAGGACATACTTCACTTAGACATTAAGCCAACATGATTTGAACTCCTTTCCTGTTCCAAGTTTTCCAAAGGTACAGTACTAGCTTGTGCACCATTTCAGACATCCTAATACCACAGCTGGTGAGTGAAATCGGTCACCTACTCACCTGGCACTACCAATAGGGAAACAAAATCACCAATGTCGAGATGCAGCTGCTTTGAAAAGTTGTTGTTCGTCAAGCAATGCCTGGAGTGCTACGTGTCTCTCCATGCTGTTTGAAATGCTCCAAAGCTCAAACATTTAACATGCAGCCCCAAAAGTTAGCAGCAGAAGAATGAATGCTGGTTGTTTGGCCGGTGTAAAATGGATGTCTTCTTCCCCTCACTCAGATGCTCATTTGAAATCCATTATCACAAGGAAACTGCATATCTTACAATTCCAAGTAGAACCCGAACCAAAACACCGAGCTCTTCTGGCATATCCAAGTCTTGAACTGCCTTTGTTCATTTCCCCGCAAGTCATGGTGTAATTCCGGGAACTTGAGGAACAGCTGGCTTGGGCGTCCTTACTTTCTCAACCATTGCAGCTTCAGTTGTAAGAACTATTCCAGCAATTGAGGCAGCACTTTGGAGAGCACACCTTGAAACTTTACATGGGTCTGCTACCCCAGCATCTAGAAGATCTTCATATGTATCCGTCATTGCATTGTATCCAGTTCGCCAGTCACAAGCTTGAATCTTTTCCACCACAACTTCACCATCTACTCCTGCGTTAGTTGCAATTGTTTTTGCAGGAGCAAGAAGTGCCTAAAATAGGTTCACAGGAATCATTAAGTTGTGAAGGATTTACAACTTTGTCGAAATCTAAGACAGATAAGTGGTTGAACAGGAAATTTTATTTTACTGAGAACAAACCTTTGCCACAATATCAGCACCAATCTGCTCATTCTCATCTGTCATGGCACTTTTTATGGTCGGTACGTGCTTGGCAAGATGGACGTATGCTGCACCACCACCAGGCACTATTCCTTCATCCATGGCAGCAAATGTTGCATTCTTAGCATCTTCAATTCTAAGCTTCCTCTCTTCCAGTTCTGTTTCCGTGTGTGCACCAACCTACATTATTAGCACGCACACACACTGAGCACTGAAAGGATAAACAATGGAACATTTCAAAGTGCATAATGACAGAGTAACGAAATTCTTCACATGTTCTAGTTTTAAATTATGTGTTGTGGGCTAACGCCATTTTTTACTAACCTTAATCACAGCAACACCTCCAGATAGTTTCGCTATTCTTTCAGATAGCTTTCTTGACAAAGATGCTTTGTCTGTTTCCGCAAGATCCTTCTTTAGCTGCAGAATTCTCGCTTGAATTTCGGGTTTCATCAGAGGATCCGCTACTATGGTAGTTGAGTTACTGGTTATGGTGATTTTCCGCGCGATGCCAAGTTGATCTGAGGTTACACTCATTATTGAAAGACCGAAATCTCCAGAAAGAAAATCAGCGCCTGAAACCATAACCTATAATGTCAGTCACGAAACACTTACTATACGTGTAAAAGTAAGACTGCACAATTTTACAAGCCAAGACACACAGGCAAATACAAAAGCATTACAGCACAAGTGGGGTTTCATAAATAAGGGCTTTCAATAGTTAGAGCTGTTCAACTTACGCATCAACACCAACCTGTCATTAGGGCAATGTCTTGCAGAATAGCTTTCTTTCCTTCTAAAAAACCAGGACATTGCACAACTGCAACATTTAGTAAACCTTGCATCTTGTTGACCACTAGTGTTTCCAACACTTGCTTCGAGATGTCCTCAGCAAAAATTAGCAACGGAACACTTAGTTGGGTAGTCTTTTCTAAGACCGGAAGTATTTCTTGGACAAAAGCAATTCTCTGGTCTGTTACTAGAACTTTCGCATTGTCAAATTCTACCAAAGATTTCTCCTGATTTGTGATGAAATGAGGCGACATATAACCCTTGTCAACCTGCATTAGTAAGCATACATGATCATAAATCAAAATTCGCGAGAAATGTTAGAAAAACCAGCATTACTACCTTCAACCCTTCATCTATTGTTACAATAGTTTCTGAGGTTTGAGATGTTTCTAGGGAGATTACTCCGTCGGGGCCAATTTTCTCAATAGTGTCAGCAATTAAGTTGCCAACGAATTCATCATTTCCAGCAGAAATTGAGGCAATGGCTGCAGAAGGACCAAGACAATTGTTACACCCATTTCATTTCCGTTTCCAAGTCCAAATGCAATCGTCTGCCGAAAATTGAAGCAGATAAAAATACTGACCTTTTATGTCTTCCCTTCCATTAACAGGATAGCTGTTATTCTTCAAGACTTCGATCAACTCTTTGACTGTGGCATCAATTCCTCTCTTCAAAGAAATTGGACTGGCCCCAAAAGCAACAGCTAACATACCATATTTGATCATGGAACGAGCCAAAATGATTGCAGTTGTTGTGCCATCACCAGCCAAAGCATTCACTTTAACAGCAACCTGGAAGGGAAGGCACTTCGACTTTCAAATGTACACAAGGCTTAGGATCAACTGCAACTAAATAAGTGAATTTGAGCTGTGCAGAGTATAGTGTAGCAACCATGGATGACCTCTTGGATTAGAGTCGCTCCCACATTCTCCATTGTATCAGAGAGCTCTATTGCCCGAGCTATAGTAACCCCATCATTCACCACCTTCAGTGACTTAGAATCAGAAAGAACAACATTTCTCCCTGCATGAGGAATTCAAATTCAACTACTAAGTTCAAGACTTCACTTTTCGTTTCCAACAACACATATATCTGATGAAAAGCATCAAATTTGACCAAGTAAAAAAGAAGAAGAAAAAAAGGGAAATTCAGAACAAGAAAATATAAGGAGAATTGAATTAAAGAACCTCTAGGCCCTAGAGTCACAGAGACAGCATCGGCGAGCTTATTGATTCCAGCTTGCAAGGCCTCCCTGCAGTCTTTCCCGTAAGATATCTTCTTCCCAGTAGCTCTAACTGTCAGTTTCATCCTCGCCAAATTAGGATTTCGCCACGGTATATAGGGAGAAGTAGAGCGACCATATAAATTCTGCATCTGCAGCGACAATCAATTCGAGACGGCAACGGAGAAACAAGTAAGAAATGGACAACCGAGGAAAACTAGAGTAAGAAGCAAAAACAACATAGCAGCTTACGGAGAAGAGTGGGTTTGGATAGAAGACGGAGGAGGCAGAAGGCGACATTTTTTTGCCGTCGCCTAATGCGGGTAAAGCGGTGTTGGTCGTCGGAGCTGAGAATTAAGAGAGGTTTAACGAACACGATTGCATATCTCTCTCCTCCTGGTTCGGAATCCCTGGTGAAGAGTTGGCCGGCCCTCGGGCGTAGAGACGGTCTAACAAGCTTTTTGGATCCAGTCTTTGAGTTGGGCTCTGAATATGGAGCCCGTATAAAATGGCCTTCGATTACCGATTAAGGTTGTGAAATCGTTTGGTAAGAATTTGAGGTTTGATTGTTGGATAGAATTCAACTAATCTACATCTATTTACACTTGCTCCATTTCAAATTTCATGCAGCGAGAGTGAAATATGGAGCCCGTAATATATCATTATTGTATGATGGTGTAGGATATTAGTTCCTCTCATTTTAGGTTCAAATTGATGCATTTTCCCCTTTATCGTTCCCTTTTATAGGTTAATAATTTATATGATATGTTTCATTATGAAATATCGTGAGCAGAATCTATACACAACAATTTGTGTTTCTTTCGCTTCCTCTTCTCTTGATTAGATATTGTGTCCATATTGATTCTTATATTGATTGTTGAATTACTACTTTTTTGTTATGAATTAAGATGCATTTTTGTTTAGAAACATGATACTAAGATGCATATTAATAAAGAATATAAGGTGTCATCTTCCCTCTTAAGGTTTAAGCACTACATATCAATGTTTACCTACCGTTATAACGTCTTTTTAACTTGAGTACGAGCTATAATGACTTTTATTGTTGTCGATTTTCCCCATAATACTTGGTATGTTGCTTTTAGTTTTCGCATTCTTTTTAGTTTGATTTAGCTTTTTATGTGTTGTTATATTAGTTGAACTTGCCAGTTGGAGATCTGCATGCTTCGACTACATTAATGTCACAGTGACTTCTATATGACATGTCACTCGAAACATGAGTTTGTGAGTTAGTTTGTTTCTTATTAAGGACACTCTAAACATATACTTTGTTCCATTATATCATTGAATACACTAAAGTCAATGGAAAAGTCGAAACATTTTATCGTATACTAAAGATTGATTATGCATGTATGATGTAAAACAACTCTTATCGTGGTTCTTCTTAGACGTTTTTATATCAATACGACTTGGTTTGAAAAATATGTATTTATGTTAGTGTAGTTTGACGTTGTTCGTCATTTTTTAAACTTCATTAGTCAAATACATCAAAACTTTCATGTATTATTAATGGAGAACTTATCAAACTAAATAGTTACTTCAAACCCCAACAACATGAACCATAACAAAAATATATACCTACACTTATACATGACACCATGAGAATCAAACTCTCCAAACCAAGATGCCGGACCATAATCTAGTTTAAGTTAGTTTTAATAGGTTGTGTGTGAGAAAATTTTCGATACTAAATAAATTATGCATATATTTGACATATTTTAAAGCAAATTCACTAATCTATATTCATTTATTATCAAATTATTTCTTCAAAAGAATATATATTACCAGATTATCAGTCATCATCTTCACACTTGGTCAAACCAGCTGGTTTTGATTGGTTGAACTCGATTTTGACTTTTTTCAGGATCCATCCCACTGGAGTGTATTCTAACATTTCATATGACTGGTTTCGGTCGGACCTTATTGCATCGACCGACACCTGATACTGGTTTGACAATCTTGTTCTAGGGATGACAACATGTTTGGTTGGAGTCGTTTTTTCTGTATACCATTTTTGAACGGGAGCTTTATATAATAACTGTGCCCAAAACTAAAAGTAGGCAAAGATGTAAAATGACATACTGATATACCCGATGTAAAAATATTTTTACTACACTAGCTCACCATCTGATCAAATAATGCATCATGGCACCTGGACCGACAATCACGCCCGACCCACGACTATCTCCATTGAAATATTGGGCTAGACCCGTCCGGCTCCTGTAGATTAACAATTGTGCCATGGCCGGCCAACACTTCCTCCCTCCGAGTTCGGCTCCCCCCGATGCATTGTTGCACCCAGACTTGGCGCTAATGCCAGTTATCGCTCCCGGTGCCTGGGCCCACTATTGGCCAGCTCCCAGCGCCGGGTCATCGCCTCTACTCCGGTTCCCGGCGTTCGGGCTCGTTAAATCCTGGTCCCCGGCTTTCCCTCCTAGCACCCGGGCCCACTATTACCCGGGCTCACGGCGCTGGGGATTCGCTTCTCGTCCGATTCCCCGGGCCCGGTTATCACGTCCGGGCCCCAGTGCCCGGACCCACTATTGCCCCGGCTTTCGGGCTCCGCCCTCCTCCCAGCGCCCGAGTCCACTATTGCCATGGTTTTCCGCGTCAGGTCTTCGTCTCCCGTTCAGTTCCAGAAGCCCGGACTCGTTATCGCTCTCGGTCCCCGGTGCCGGGATCTACTATTGCCTTGGCTTCCGGCGCCGGGCCTTCGCCTCTCGTTCGGTTCTTGACACCCAGACCCGTTATCGCTCCCAATCCTCGATTCCCAAGCTCTGTCCTCCTAACGTCGCCCGGGCCCGCTATTGCTCCGACTTTCGGCACTGGGCCTTCGCCTCTCGTCTGATTCTCGACGTTCATGCCCGTTATCGCTCCCGGTCCTCGACGCCCGGGCCCACTATTGCCTGACTTCTAGCATCGGGCCTTCACTTCTCGTCCGGCTCCTGGCGTCTGGGCCCGTTATCGCTCCCGGTCCCTAGTTTTCGTGCCCGCCATTGTCCCATCGCCTGGTGTTGGGTCTTTTCCTCTCGTCTGATTCCCGACGCCCAGGCCCGATATCGCCTCTGACTCCTAGTACCCGCCGGTGCACTACTGCGCCCGACACAAGGCCCGCTTTCGCCCTCGTCTCCCGGCTCCCGACACCCGAATCCACATAGACTCCTCCACCTTAATCCATGGTTCGCTCTCCCCCGGTACATGTGACATGTCTTCTCTTCAATCAATCTCCAATGTGGCAAGGGTGTTCCCATTACGAAAAATCATGGTTGACATTCGTTTAAGTAAAAGCAATCAGTCATTGAAGTTAGAATCACTCATGTTGTCCCTGGGAAAATTTACGAAGGCTGACAGAAATACTGAAACAACCACAATATGCACCAATAATCAGTCTCTCAATCTTAAACACCATTTTATGACTTTTCACATTTAGGTGGAGTAGGGAATGTTCCAAGCGACTTTCGCGGGTGGTGTACTATATCCCTTTCCTGTCATTCTTGTGATTCCCAGCTCCCTTAGCTTATTCTAATTTTATTATATTATTCCAAACCTTAACTCGACAAAATAGGCTCAATGATCTCTTTCTTCGATAGACCGGTCCGGCGCTCTGAGTGGTTATATTTGTGCATGTTTTGACTCGCTGGTCATTATGGATGATGTGGCATGGTGAGGCAAATGGGAAATAAGCACTTAAATAATACAGTTCGAGTGTACCACTTCTTTCTCATTTGGAGGAAAGGGTGCGGGGAAAAAAGGAAACAATAGAGGGATCTGAATCATACCTAAGGGTTCGTGTTCGCCGGGAGCCGGCGTCTTGAAAAAGGGTTGTTAAGGTTCTCCAGCGTTGGCACAGTTCGTTTTCTACGTGTGGTATTTCGTTTACAACTTCGGCAAGCCTTACTGCATCTGCAATAGTAGCCATACGTGCTCTTACTCAATTTCTTTGATTTTAATTTGATGAAGTGAAGACATTTATCGAGCTTCCATTTATAGGGTGGAATGTGTACAACCACGTGGCGTGCGCATGTGGGCATAGACGACACATGTCCAGTGACGTGTACTTCTTTCATCTCCAGCGCCAATACCTGTCCTCCTGTTGTCCTACAAGTAGACACTATATAACTACTCATGCTCTCCAGTGGAAGGTAAGGCAAGAGACAGGGGGAAGTACCCTGAGAGCGCCCGCTATAGTCAGTGACTCTCATCTCCCGGACTCACCTCCTGCAAATACCTTGTAAGCTATTCAATCCCCGACACTATGGTCTAACTTGAGCGTCGGAGGGTGCCCCCGTCGAGATAGGTTGGCATGCCCTTTTTTTTGCAGGAAGCGATCGGAGGCAACATCATGAAGTAAGGTTACGATAAAGGGGCACTACAAATCGCTTCGGGGCCCAACATCAACAATTAACGCCCACCGTGGGACCTCGAAGTAAAGTCTTGAAAAATACCTGATATCAACTCTTCTTTCGTGATGGAATCCGAAAGCTCCTGACCAGCCGGGAGAAGTCGATACAAAGAAACATCCGTCCAACCTTCTGTTGAGGAACTCCAAACTCAAAACGAACAACTCAAGGCAAAAATAAAGACGCTGACCTCGACTCCTCCTCCCACTGGTGTACATGCTAGCTCAAGTCAACAACAAGAAACCCCAGGTGGGTCCGCCCAGCCAAATGGGACGTTGGCTCCACCCTCTACCTTGTGACCCAAACTCTCATATTTGGAGGCTCATCTTATGCCAGGCTTCCTCGGTGATCTCGGTCACAGAAGGCCCCTCACCTAGACTATTCTCGAGTAGTCTAATCCTCCTAATTTTCAAATGTCGCACCACCTGCCAGAATACTATTGGAATTTTGACTTGGAGGATCACCTTAGTGCGTTTCATATTCTGATGCCCTTCGTGGGGGCGTCTGACGCTACTATGTGCAAGCTCTTTCCAGGAACCTTGTGGGGGGTAGCATTTAAATGGTACACCCAGCTAACCAATGGGTTAATCCACAACTTCAAAGAATTTGCCATCCTCTTCCATGCCAAGTTCTTCGCTTAGAAAAGACCTAACGTGGATGTCTCTCACCTCTTGAACACCAAGCAAAGGAAATATGAAACCCTCAAAAAGTATTACGCCTGGTTCAGCATGATTGCTGTCAGGGTAACCACTCTCTCCACAGAGAATGCCACACATGCCCTCATATGTGGCACCAACAACGCCCTCCTCCGAGCCTCACTCATAAAGCACCGCCCTCGCAACATGATGGATCTCTAAGAACGAGTTGCTAAGTACATCGCCCTTGACGAGACTCTACAGGAGGCGGCCCCACATAAGAGAGGTCGCTCGCCTCCACCTAAGAGGAAGTGTGATTCCACACCTCCAAGAAATGCAGATTCACCTCGAGCCGTGAGCGCCCACGTGGTCGTTTGCCTCCCGCCTCTGTAAAGGGCAATATCTGTGATGCTTGTCTAGAAGGTGTTGAACCCGAGGCGGAACGCCCTTTCACTCCCTCACGGAACCACGCAAAACCATTTTGCAGATCATTCAAGAGAAAAAAATCTCGATTGTGTGGCCAGCTCCAACGACCAATGAACCACGAAAGGGGAAGAACAAGTATTGTGATTTCCACCGGGGTTATGGTCACGATACAGAACGTTAATGGAATCTAAAGAATTCCATTGAAGATTTTGTTCAAGTAGGACATCTAAAGAAATATATTGAAGGGTCAAAAGAACGCTCGCGAGAACCTCTGTCCACCGACTGAGGCAAAACTATTCAGAGTACTGTTGCTCTAGGGGTCGTCGATGTCATCCATGGTGAGCTGGCCTCAGGTGTATACAAACTAAACCGCCTCCGATGAACACCCAGGCTATGGTAGGGCTCCACCTCCGCAACAGCAGCAACTCCTCTAATCTCATTTGACTCCCAGGATTTAGAAGGAGTTGCGCACCCACACGATAACACATTGGTAATAAAGGCGATAATATTTGATTACGAGGTCAAGAGAATTTTGGTGGATGGGGGAAGCTCGGCGGACCTACTCTTTTACCCCACCTACCTATCCCCTCAACTTTCCATCTCCTTCTTTAATTTCACACTAAGGCCGGTGTTGGGTGTGTGCAAGGGGACCAAGATCTAACACGGCAATATTGTGCTCTGTCCCAGGAGAAAAAGGAAATTGTCGTGATCGACGCTCAGAGGAAACTGCCCGCCTAGTTCCTGTTGATGACGACGAGGAGTTCCCACTCGTCGATGAGCACACAGTTTGCATATCGACCACCTGGCCACGAGAGTCACTCCAGTCCCTTCGCATTACTCCGGAAATTTGGTGGAGTATTCGCCTGGGGTCCAGAATATATGCTTGGGTTCTACCCTAGGGTGGTCGAACACATACTCAGAATAACTCCTGACAGCCGCCCAATCCAACAAAAGCATCGTAACTTTGCATGGGAAAGATGTCAGGCAGTGGCCGAAGAAGTCACCAAACTTCTTAAAGCTCGGTTTATCAGGGAAGTCTTGTACCCGACATGGCTGGCCAATTTCATCATGGTAAAAAATTCGAATGATCAGTGGCGTATGTGTGTGGATTTCACTGACCTAAACAAGGCATGTCCTAAGGATCCATATCCTCTCCCGAAAATCGGCCAACTGGTTAACGCCATCTCCAGGCACCAGTTCTCACCTTCCTCGACATGTTCTCTGGGTACCACCAAATTTTGATGAAGAAAGAAGACCAAGAAAAGACAGCTTTCATGACACCTGTCGGAAATTACTGTTATGAAGTTATGCCCTTCGGCCTAAAAAATGTCGGTTCCACATACCAGCGCGTGGTAGATCGAGGTTTTGTCCACCATCTAGGAAGGAATGTAGAAGCATACGTCGATGATATCCTGATAAAGAGCATCGGGTTGAGCGCCTTGAAGATTTGAGGGAAACGCTCACCACTGTGCGCTTGTATGACCTCTGTCTCAATCCAAAAAAAGTGTGTTTTAGGTGCAACCACTGACAAGTTCCTAGGCTTCATGCTCACCCAAAGAGGGATCGAAGCCAAACCCCATAAGATTGATTCAATCCTTCAAATGCCCCCTCCCACCAAAGGCCTAGAAGTTCAAGTACTTGTCGGGTGCATAGCGGCCCTCAATCGCTTTATAGCCCGGGTTGGTGATAGATATGCTTCGTTCTTTTAAACGCTTAAAGGTGCTTGTAAGACCTTTGGGTGGGCGTTCGAGGAGCTCAAAATATACCTTGTAAATCCACCAATACTCTCTGCCCCGAGAATAATGAAGTCCTCTACCTGTTCTTTGTTGTGTCCCCCAAGGACGCGAGGGAGGTCTTAGTGCGAAAAGATTCCACCAGAATTGAGCATTCAGTATACTACACCAGCAAAACTCTCCTTGATGCTGAAACCCAATATACTCTCATCGATTAGCAGCATTGGTCGTAGTTGTTGCCTCCCAAAAATTGCAATCTTACTTCCAAGCTCACCCCATCTGCGTCCTAACGCACCTACCCCTTCGGCGCCCTCTACAGAAAATGGATGTTGTCGAGTGCATGATCAACTAGGCCATTGATTTGAGCGAGTTTGACATTATCTTCGTACCCTGAATGACCATCAAGTCACAGGTACTTACTGACTTCATAGCCGAGGGAATTTGTGGTCAACCTACTCCAACGACAGAGACTTGGGGGTTGTTTGTCGATGGTGTCTCCAACAAGTCAAGGGCAGGCGTCAGTGTTCTCCTCATAAGTCCCGTCGGCGTCGTTCATGAGTTAGCTATGAGATTCACATCGCCAAAAACCAATAATGCCGCGGAGTATGAAGCTTTACTGCCGGAACTCTACATGGCGCAAGAACTGGGGGTACAACGTCTCATCGTTCACTCAGACGGAGTATGAAGCTTTACTACCAGAACTCTGCATGGCGCAAGAACTGGGGGTACAACGTCTCATCGTTCACTCAGACTCTACACTCGTGGTCAATCAAGACTTTTGAAACACGGGAGCCGACACTCTTAGTTTATGCCAATGCAGTGCGGGCGGCTTTGGCCAACTTTATCGATGCTCGCGTCAACCACATTCCATGAGAAGAAACCTTCATGCGGATTCTCTCTCCAAATTAGCAACTACTCGGGATTTTTTTGGACGAGAGACATGTTATTGTTGAACGCCGGGCCCGTCTTGCTGTGCTCTCAAACAACCACTTTGCCTCTCCCCCAAGTCTGGTGCACGCCAATGATTGAATACCTCCTGCATGTCATCCTTCCAGTCGACCATAAAGAGGCAGTTCGCTTGAAGTGTCGGGTGCCTTTATACATTATGATCGACGGTGCCCTGTACCGGAAGATTTTTGCAGGCCCGTATCTCTAGTGCCTTAGTGCGCGTGGCCCACTTTGCTCTCTAGGAGGTTCACCAGGGTATGCACCAAGTGTCAAGTAGCCTCCCAAGTATCCCATGCACCCACGACACCAATGCAAGGGAACCTCATTCCTTGGCCTTTCGCCCAGTGGGGAATGGATTTCCTCGGTCATTTTCCCGAGGCCCCTGGGAGGAAATAGTATCTAATAGTCGCTATCGACTATTTCACAAAATGGATAGAGTTCGATGCACTAACCGACATGACCATCTAACAGGTTGTGAAGTTCCTATGGACCCACATCATTTGTCGGTTCAGCCTCCCTCACACCATTGTGCTGGACCAAGGAATACAATTCAAGA